TTGTGTGTGTGTGTGTGTGTGTGTGTGTGTGTGTGTGTGTGTGTGTGTGTGTGTGTGTGTGTGTGTGTGTGTGTGCGCGCGCGCGTGCGCGCCCATATTTGCATGCATAATGAGGCGTCAGCGTGTGCCCTGCCCTCTCAGATAGACTCATGAAGTCACCGATTTTCCATGGTGACAGAAAAGTCAACAAACAAGCTGAAAGGAAAAAAAAAAAGCATGCAAAAAGGAACAACACAACTACAAAATGTTGTACACATGTAGAGTAGCAAGATAATAAGAATGGAAACAATCAAAGCGCCCTAACAAGTACAGTATGGTCCAGAGAGTTTGCCCATGCAGTTCTGCACCATTTCTGACCCTTTGCCTGTCATTAAAATTCAGCCATCAGACACTCCCCTGTGGAAAAAAAAGGCACTTTGTTCCACTGACAACAAGAACTGTCACAACTGTGTGTATCTGAAACTTGGCCAAGTAATAGCGTGGAAGATGAGACGAAGTGGACAATCAACCATGAGACAACCCATTTTCATGGCTCTCCAAGTACAGCAAGTTTTCCTTTTGGAAATTTTGACCTCTCTAAATTAAGAATTTGAACTGTACAGCCCGAGATCTAGCGGGTACGTGTGCGCCCGCGTGTGTTTCATTTAAAAACAAATACAGTCAGCCACATTCCAACTGCTGTTCTCACACTCACAGGGGTAGCCTTGTTCACTATTCAGCACACGTAAACACAAGTGTGATCGAGTTGAGGCGACAAGGAAGGAAGCCTTATGGCTTTTGCGCAATCACACAGCCCTTCATTTGGGCTCATTGTGATTTGAGTTTGAGCTAATAACTAAAACTACAACAAAAAAAAAGAAATGACTATCATTTTATCGAGGACAGAAAATGCGCGGTGGCATTTTGGATCGGTAAATTGGGGTGCAAATGAGTCAAGTATATTGTTTGAAGACTTCGTGGTGCTGCCTGTCACGCGGAGGTCAATGACCACACTACAACTTGAAATTCCAGCAAATGTGTATTATAGTGAATCTGCAATATTTTCTGATTCGTCTTTTCCGCCTCCAGCTGTCTTGTTTTTTTTTTTGTTGTTTTTTTTTAACAGTGTACAGGCAACTCCAAATTTCAAATAGAGAGCCTCCCGTGTCGTAGCACCTTGTGCCCAGGGACGGCTCCAGGATTTTTGTTTCCTCCTCCCGGAGCTAAAGGAGGCTTGACCAAAACATAGGGGGGCAGAGAAAGCGATTTATCAATATATTTTAGGATATCAAGTAAAACGGCACTATGAGGCTGGCGTGCTAACCAGTAGACAAATGTTTTAGTTTTTTTTTTTTTCTTTTTGGCATCGCTCTGAATAGATGTGAATGAAACCCTGAGTGTGGATGGACTTAGAAGGTGAAAACTCACCTTGATGGGCTCAGTGCTGAATCGAATCTTCCTATTGGCTTCTATAGGCTCCTCCTCCTCAGGAAGACCCTCGATTTCAGTGCAGCTGCTTTCTGGATGGTATGCTTCCTCCTCTTCCTCATCGTCATCGTCGTCCAGCTGGCTCCCCCCGGAGTCGTCCTCGCCGAGGCCGCTGTATGCGCTCACATCCACCAGATCCCCTTCGGAGTAATCCTCCTTCCTCGAGCCGTCCTCGTCATTGTCCTCTTCGTCACCCCTTGTCTCAGAGTCAGCTTCTGTAACTTCAAAAGCCGGTGGCTCTTTTTCCCCATTTTCGAGTGAAGCGTGGACATCCGCTTGAACCAACCTGGCCCCAGCCTCAACATCCCCCCTACAACAATCCTGTTCCGCGCTAAGAGGCTCCGCGCCCGATGCAGCCACGACGGTACTCGAGCCCCTGTCTTCTGTCAACGTGAGCTGGCATTCCGACTCCGGTTTGGCCTCCGCATGAGGTGGGGAGATGTCATCAGAGTGCTGATCTCCTGAATGTCTGAATCTTTCCTCCTCGCTGAGCGCCGCGCCATCGATTTCGCACTGCGGGGGCGGATCCGTCACTTCAACCTCTGCCGCCTGGTCGTTGACACTTCCTGCTGTTACCTCTTCATCCTCCTGACTTGGAGGGGCCCCTTTCATCTGTGAGCGAGTGAGACAAATTATGTCATCATTTAACACCACGGTTGACTCGGTTTCAATCGTCTTGCCGAACAAAGAGAAACTGAGGCTACAAGCGCACTGAACTTAAACAAGCGTCAGGTCTCGACTAAGCTAGGCAGTGATCTTCTTTTCACCAACTCACAAACTATTCCATCTCCTTTATTTTTCTGTTTCATTCATGTTAGGGGCCGTAATGGCTGCTGCTCAACTTGGCATATGTGTGTGCGTATGCGCTTTGGAATCATAGTAACAATAGAGGTGTGGCCAACAAAAACCTACTCAAACTGTAATGCTGTCATATTAACGGCCCAAATCTCGGAGGAAGATTCAAAGCATCTTGATGAATATACAAGAATTTGGTTCTGATGGTCGATGGGGATCTAACTCAGGATTCTCACAAGAAGTGAAAGTAATCAACTATAAATCCTATAGCGCAGCCTTTGGCACTTGGCATTAAAGTCACCACTTGAGTGAAAAAGTGGTTTCATCCGACAAGACGTGACGCGTCGGCTAAAATAATCCCCCTTTGCAAATCTCCTTACCTGGCTCCGACCAGGCCCTGATTTGGCTGGTAGTTTTGGCTTTGGTGCTGGGGCGGGTCTTGACCGACGGTTGGGGAGGTAGAGGTTGTTTTGGAGATCTGCCTTCTCAAACACAGCACTGAGTTGACTCACGGTGGGGCTGACGGCCTCAGCGGGCCCAAAAGCAGCTGCAGCGGCAGGAACGGGAGCAGGAGCGGGAAGAGGGGGCTCATCTAAGCGGTCCAAAGCCTCGGTAGAGCCATTAAAGCGTGCCACAACGTCCAGGCGGCTGTCTTGGAAACCAGAAGCTCGCTCCTTCTTCAGCAAAATCCTGTTGGTAGCAGCTTGTTTCTCCTGAAGGAAAACAAAACATTTCATGTTCATCTCTCATGAGAGTGACTCTGATCCTGTTCAGAGTACGCCATCAACGAGTCAATCCCAGGGCTGACATAGGCAGACAGTCACTCAATGCTCAAATTCTCACATTTGGACAGTTTTGAATCTTCACTTGACCTCGCATGTTTTCTAACATTGAGGAAATCAAAATTGACCGGATAGAAGGTGGACAGATTCAAACACGGACTTTTTTTGGTGTCTCACAGAGGTATTAACCGTTCTTTCGATGTGCTGTTGATGAAAATGTTACAATTTTTCTCTCGTGAACACCCGGCCCTATTTTCGCTCCCAGCGCAGTGCAACATGCTGCTACACAAAATAGCCGTGTAAATCACGACACGGCCAGTGCGTGTATAAAACGATGATCTCCTAATAGTGAGATCAGTTTAGTCTGCAGCAAGCAGGCGGTTCGGAGTTTGCTGATTTCACCGGTGATCCATACAGTCACACCAGAAGAGTCAAATAAAGGAAACGATTGCCATTTCTCACCTGTAGTGTCCGTTGTTCAAACATCCTCCTGGTTTCCTGAAGTTTGGACAAGCCTGAGGAGCTCGCACCCTCCCCGTCCGTTTTGGTGTCAAAACGGTTGACCCTCTCTGAAACTGTACCCCCTAGTTTGAGCAGGGCACTGTGGTCGACGTTCTCGTTGAGGCTCGATGCCCTCGGCAGGGACAGTTTGACTTCTTGCTCATTTCCTGCCAACGATAGGATGCTTAACTACGGAGGTTGTTCAAATAGCGCCTCTCCACCCCAAAAAACAAACAGATATATTATTTACCAATCACTTTGGCACCATCTTCCTCATCCCCCGGTGACTGCATCTGCATGAACATATTCTTGATGCGGTGAACGTTTGATCCATAGCGCCGACCCCTCCCGTTTGGCCGAGGTAGGGGTGCCGGCTTGGAGGCGGGGTCGTAGCCTCCGTTGAGGTGATCGGTGGCTTTCTTCAGCGCCGCCAGCCCCGCCTCGTATGCGTTTCGATGCGGCGAGGCGCTGCGCATGTTGGAGCTCCCGCTTCCCGCGCTGTTCCCGGCGGAGGCCCCGTTGTCTGGCGCGGCCGAGGCAGCTTCTGTCTTCATCATGTTTGATAATTTAAATGTCCCCCGGCGAAGAGCAGGTTAATGGTGATGAGGCCGGCAGCATGTCTGGACAACATGAGCTGTGAGACGAAAAGAGAAGAGAAACTTGAAAGAACAACAGTGTGGATCGATTCCATCAGTGTATATCGCCATCATTTCATTCATTCAGATTTCAGTGTTTTGATATTTGTTACCACCGCTCAATAGGTTATGTTTTCAATGGCCTTGGTTATTAGGATCAGGATGGTTGCTCCCGTTACATTTTCGTAACAGACACACAGACAACCCCCCCCAAAAAAATTGAAACCATTTCCAAAACGTTTCAATTGTTCCTAGTTGTCCACAGTAATACAAATTGCTCTTAAATGTTATCCCTTTAAATTTGGGTGACCAACCCAGCAATGATGTCAACAATATCATGAAGATTAAAAAAAAAATCACATCGCTCTCGATACTAATACATTGATGATGTCATAAAAACATCAAACCAAATAAATCCTTGATTAAAAGGTTGTGTAAAATAGGGGAAACTTTAGGTGAAATTTAATGACAAATACACAAAATCCTTCAAAATAATCGACCGTAATCCAAGTCTCATCGCAATTTAAACCTATTTTTCAATGCAGGTGAAATGTGATTACGGTCTATTTATAATTATTTTATGGGCGGCAAGGTGGGCGACTGGTTAGCGCGTGCAAAGGTGCAGGCTTCGATTCTGGCTCCGGCCTTCCTGCGTGGCGTTTGCTCCTTCTCCCCGTGCCTGCGTGGCTTTTCCCTGGGCAGGTTTTCGCCAGAATCGAACCCTGCGCCTCTGCACTGTGAGGCGGACACGCTAAGCAGTCGCCCACCGTGCCGCCCCGCTGACAAAATATCATCCGAAATTCAAGGTTTAATTGACGTAACCAGCATGAGAATATTTCCAATAAGACTGACAGGCAACCCCACGACAACAAAAGCCCAAATGATTTATATATGGTGATTAAATTCATAGGACGGGAAATACTTGGGTCATAAACGAGATAAAAACATGGGATCATGTTTCCCCCAAAGTAGGAATTATATTTATTTTTATCCTAAATGACTGAGTGACTTTCTACATCTGGAAAGCATTCCCTTTAAAGGAAACATTGTGATTTTTACCCCCAATTTAAAACAGTTCCCAGGTGTCTTGACAACATGACGGGCTTTTGTCATAATACCCCGAGGATACAAAAAAAAAAAAGAGAGAGAAACCGGTACTTTACTGTCCGTTATTTAGCGTCCCGGAAATTAGTCTGATTTTAGGGGGTGATCCTGTGTCATGAAAATGAGCGACGGTTAATCCTGGAACCAATGCCAAGTAGTAAGATACTGCTTTCATTTCCAGAGCTCGGAGTGAGCAAAGAGAAAAAGTGAGCGCCCAGAAAGACAATAAAAACATTGCACTTCATTGTCTACAACCCCGTTTGTCTGTTCATTTTCTGTACCGCTTGTCCTCATTCGGGTCACGGGCCAGCTTGGAGCCTATGCCAAAGGACGGCGCAAGAAGCAGGGTACAACCTGGACTGGTTGCCAGCTTCTCACACTGACTGCACTACACTAAACTTCATTAAAAAAATGTCAATTAGTGTGCTGGTCCACAGATGTGGTGCGTGCATGGCCAAACAAATGCATCCCAACCTCCACTACCTCAATTAGCGACCAAGTACAGTATGTGCCACCAACCAGAAGCGAATGCTGTTAACCAATGCTAATCTGGGCATCATTTGGGGATATCTGCACAATGCGATAGAGAGTCTTTAAAACATGCCACAGTCAAGCGAGTCAAGGCCAAAGTGAAGAAATGTGTCACTGTTTGCAGCAAGCAAAACAATGATTATTCGATGAGGCAACGAATTGTTGGTTCACTTTGAATGTGTTCAAACACCAAATGAAATGGAAGTGGGTAAAACACAACATGACGTGCTCATCAGTGGCAACACTGACAACCTTAGCCATACCCGGCAATTTTACGGCCATTTGGCCCGCGGCCCGGCTCGGACTGGGCCGCGAAGTGTTCCTTGGAATTAAGAAAATAAAAGCTTCAACATTTTTTCACAATGCGCTTTGGGCCGCGGCCCGGCTCTTACTGGCCAGTGAAACGTTGCTTGGAATTAAAAAAATAGATCCTACTTTCAAAATGTTGCATAGTGCGTGGACCAAAGCATCAGACCTTTTATTTTGAAACCTGCTTGCGGGGGGTGCGTGCGTCATCGATGTACAGGTGCTCTGGCAGAATCTGCGTGATTAGCTACAAGTCACGGGAATGGTACCCCTTCAAAATGTTCGCCCATGCCCCCCCCCAAAAAAAAACCCTAACTGTGGACGCTGTGAATTCCGTGGTTTCAAGAAAATGCGGCCTGTTGAATAATTATTGACTGAAGTCAGGGTTAAACCCGTGTGTTTAGTTTGTGGTGAGCCGGTCGCCCTGTTGAAGGACGTAACGAGACGAAGCAAGCGGGAAAAATCCAGACATTCGACTGAGGCCGGGAGAGCGCAGATATCCGAAGATTCGCTAAAGCGACGCTAGAAAAACAACAAAGCTATTTGACCAAACAACACGCAGCCCGGGAACCATCAACCAGGACCGGCTATGTGTTAGCCCACGACATCGCGAAGAAACACCAAGCCTTTTTTTGGAGGGGAGGAATTCGTTCAAGAGTGCTTGGTGGACTCTGGAGCGCGAATATGTCCGGAGCAACAAAAGAAGTTCAACAAATCCAGGTACGGACCCTCTTTTCCTGACGAGCATCTGTCCTGTGTGCTTCACATGTCCACCTCAAACGTTCAAGCTGCTATGATGCACTTGTAGAAGCTCAACAGAGGTTACCTTGATCTCACTGAGCAAAGAAAAACCAAAACATTTGAAACATGCTTACTTGGATTGTTTTTTCTGCTTTGTTTGGCAGTTGGGACTAAAAATGTTGTGAGTTATGTTACATTATGACTGGCATACGCAGACATTGTGGCATCTTAATGGAAAGTGAAAAATCAGAAAGCTTTGTTCGTGTTCATGTTACTGAAAAAGAGTGACAGATGTTGCACAATTACAATAGTGTTGTGTAATTTCACTGAATAAATCGAGTTTTTTTTTTTGTAAAACAACCGCAGTCATTATCGAACAGTAACACATACTCAATCAGGTTCTGTAAACAATGCCATTTATTTCAATGCCAAAATGAAATCGATAACTGGAGTAGATTTCAAACTTTTGGCCCGTCCTGCTCAATATTTTCTGCTTCTCCTTTGGCCCCCGGGGGAAAAAAGAATTGCCCACCCCTGACCTAGGGGCTCAAGCTATTCACATGCGGGCACGTTGCAATCAAAACTCATCTTGTGATCCTGCCGTGACAAACCAGCGGCTTCTCATACAGAGATCACGTGAACTTTAGTGGGCCAACGTGAAAAGACGCTCGTGCACACGGAAAGGAGCTGGCGTCAGCGTCATTTTTCGTGTCATTCATCAGTCCAAAAACAACTACTGTCTGTCAACCGCTTTTTGGTTTGAGGTCAGTTGGTCAAGATCAAGACAGCATTAAAGCGGCATCAACACCATGTTGTAAATGTAATAATGCATTTGGTGAGCAGAGTCGCTCTCAAGAGAATAAAAATAAGAACCGGTGATTCATCTACATGTCTTGTCTCTTGCACAATTTTGTATCGAAAGTGTCACAGAATAGCGCCAGTCCACTTCTCCATAAGTTCTTCAGTCTATCGCGAGTGAATGCCATTCCCAGCACAGCTCACACAAAAAAAAAATCTTTTAAAGGTTCATTCCTCTGCACCCAAATAGTGGCACTTACATGCATGTTTTTGTAATGTGGGAGGAAGGCGGAGTACCCGGAGAAAACCCACGCAAGCGCGGTGAGATCATAAAATTACTCCAAATAACTGGATTAATTCACACATACATTCATTGATGAGAATCTTTTTTTTTTCCGTTTAAAATTAAAATTCACTCGGATTATGTTTGAGGTCCCAACTATAAAAGAAACCTCAGCATTGCACCGACGGTCTTCACATCAGGGCTTCAAAATAGGGCGTACGACACACTAACAGCCAAGCCTATGTTTTTCTAAATGACACACTTGGAGATGTAAATGTTTGGGCAGAGACAGTGAAAGTAACATTGTCTCATTCTACCAGTGAAATTTGGCTTCTCGGGAGTCTTTTATTGTCCCGATTTATCAAAATGAGTAGTGTACAGTATATTATTGACAGTATCGGCTCATTTTTAATTTTACGTTTCAGTCTCTTTATTTTTTCACTGATGTCAAAAGACTTTTACCTGAGGCTGTTTAGTTTTTGACCCTGACGGGACAAGCCGAAAGTGGCATCAACAACAACCCAAGCAAGTATCTGCACTGCTACCTCAGCACAGTCTACGAGTACTTTTGCCACCTCTGGTGCTGGCTTCTTCCGGCCCGAGTGTGTAGAATTAAGGGTGAGCGTTATAATAGGTGACTGTCAGCCTACGTCAACTCACTGTACAGCGACGAAAGCAAACGCGTCCACTGTGCCGCAGATGCTCGTTCCTGCTCTATTTTTTCCCCCTCTTCTGCTGCCGGCGCAGGCATGACCGTGACCACGACTGTGACTGCGAGCACACACACCGCAGTGAACAGAGGACACATTATGGCAACACAATGCCTCCATCTATTCTCAAATCCCCGCACAAGTGGAGGAAACTCTCAGGCCCGATGGCCTTGTGCAAAAAGAGCTTCTTCCCTCTGGCAGACGCGCAGCGATCGTCTGGCCGTGTTGGCACGGACGCCGCTCACTGCGAACTTCCGTCGCCAACCCCTAATATTCATTTCAGGCTTTGTTTTTCGTTGAAAACGTATTGGCGACCACCCGGCTACTTCGAGATACTCCGCTGTCTGTCGTACAGTTCGGCGTTTCAAATAACACCTAACTAAAACAACCCGACGCGTTTGTATTATGGTTTTGGTCCATCAAAATGCGCCTCCGCCGCATTTATTGTTGAACGCAGCCACGGTCGATGAGTCAATATAAGAATGGAGCATCCTAAATTGCGGTGCAAAGAGAAAACAAAAGCGCTCGGCGTGCCGAAGACAAAGCACCTGCGGGTTGTGTGTACATGTTACCGTGACATAAACGGTGGCCGTGTAATAACGTGTGACCGGCACCGGTTTAGGACCCGGAGGCGGGCTTAGGAGAGCCAGGCCCCGCTGGGTGGCTGCAGAGCCGCGTCGCTTCCTTCCTTCCTACCTCGCCGAGAGGCACAAAGCGCACGACGACGAAGCCCGAAACCGTCTGACAAGCCCGCTCGGTTCACCATACCTTAACATCCGGTTGTGTTCGGTAGATTGCAGCCCATCGTACGTTTTGTGCTGCTGCTGCCGCCGCCGCCGCTGCTGCGTCCCTCCTGCTGGCTATACAGACCGAGTGGCGGCTTTCTGCTCCTCCTCCTCCTCCTCTTCCTCCCCCTCCCATCATCTGTTTACCTCCATCCCGCGCTCATCTCTTCGCCCTTCTTTCTTTTTTTACCCTCCTCCTCTACGCAGACGTCTTCCTTCTTTATTGTACAGTATTCCATTCCTTTACACTCGACCATATTTTTCTATTTCCTGTATACCCGTTGTAATTTCTCCCCCGGTGGTCAACTCCAAGTATTACTTCTCATTAGTAGATATTGTTGCAAAAATGAAATCAGGACTTTAAGTTTGCGATTTATTGTTCAAATAGAGCTAATCATCATAAACGAGCAAATCCCTGCATGACCTGTCTGTCAATTTACCCGCTTACTGAAGTTTGGCGCCCCCTAGTGGCGAAACTACACCTGCGACGTAACGACACATTTTCAGGGAACAAAGCACATTCGTGATCTCACACGACCACCTTACATTGTTAATGAAGGGCAGCCAAGTCAAAGGGTTAGCAAGGATATTCAACAACAAGAACAAAAAAAAATGCAATGATACGAAATGAACTTTTTGACAAGAGAACGTAAGCACTGCTGCGCAAGAGTGCTAACTAAATATGGACAGACGATGGCAGCGTTTACGATGGTAATTTGACAAAAACAATGTCTGCTTTGAAGCAGAGGATTAAGTGACGTTTGAATTTACAGCGACATTGTTGTGCTTGGGTACTGTATCTTCGCTTTCTGGCTACTTCACAGTTTAAGTGACGGATATGCAAAATTGTTGGTCATGGAAAACAAATATACCCTTGCAGGTTCCCTCGTCATGTTAATGGCCATCATTGGCCATTAAACCTGCAGCTTCATGCCATTTCACATGTGCTTGGAAAATTTTCTTTGATTTGCTTTACTTGCTTCTATTGCACCGAGCAGCCGTAAGTTTTCTTATTTTACGAGTTTCATATCTGGTTTTGTGGTTAGCATCACTTCCGGCTTGTGATCACCGGTACCTTTCTGCGGCCGAATCAAAATGAAAGCAAGGTACGATTGTAATGCCTGGCTGTTGAACTTCCAAGTCGTCCGATAAATTATTGGTTGAAAACCAAAAATTGTAATCCTTGGCGGCATTCAAATTTGTAGGTTGAAGGCCAAGTCGTCCGATAAATTATTGGTTGAAAACCAAATTGTAATCCTTTGCGGCATTCAACTTTGTAGGTTGAAGTATGCAATAGAGCGAGGCACCACAGGGTTGAATTATTGAAAAGCAAAGCTCCCTTAGATGCTGACAACTCTTTAATAGACTCAGTATATCCAAGCACATATGATCAAATACAAGCAATTTATCATACGCACAAGAAGCAGTTTATGTTCTGATGGCAGAAATAGGCACAGTGTTTGTTGACTTGATTAAAATAAAAAAACAAACTTGTGGCTCCGGACCAGAAATTCTGATCTGAATACAAAATTGATTGCCACAAGATTTCAGTTGTGACTTTAATGAACCTTGGAAAGTTGGTAAACTGCAAGTGAAATACAGTACGCATTCTCAAATAATGAAGCGCGAGGTAACACTTCCACAGTGTCAAAAATATATGTGTGACATGAAATAGTTGAAGCCTTTTGTCCCCCGTAACTCTATTCATATACCTGTCAAAACCAATGTTTTTGTTTCAAAGCGCAGTACAGACGTCCATTTGCCTGCGGGCAAAAGAAGACCTTTCAACGAGAAGAGAGCAATGATTCCCTTGTAATTGACACTAATCGCGCTTCAGCCTCTTAACCCCGTCATCCAGTACTCGTGATGCAGCCTTCAGCTGTTCACGACGTTTCCAGTCCAGGTCTCGTGTTTGGTTCCTGGCTTGAGGTGGGTGATGGTCACCTCGACCGCCTGGACCTTCTCGAATTTCGGAGGGATGGCGCACACCTTGTAGATCACCTCGTCGCCTTCCACTGGCACGTACTCGCCCTCGATGCTGAAACGCATTTCAATTGACGAGCAGTTTACCAAAGTGTGGTCGATTCAGAAATGTGAACTTGCATCTCTGAATCGGGGGGGAAAAAAAAATGTTGATTGGTGCCTTTGAAAGTAGATATTGTGTGGATACAAAGAATGCCGGTTTATTTGCGAGGGCTACATTCCGGAACCATCTGCAGTATGTGGACCACGTTAAAACCGTTTAAAAAAATAAATATTATTAACCCTCCATGCACATAATTTCAGAGGCCAGGGCCCGTGAGGCGGCGTGTGTCGTCGAGTGCGCGCGAGCGGTGGTGACAGCAGCTCCTGTGTGAGTGTGTGATCACTTCTAAAATGTGCTACGCTGGGGGTGTGAATGATAAACCACGATAAAGCGGGGCAGGGGAAATGTACGGTTGTTATAGGAAAGCAAAATGTCTTCCTCCTGAAGTGTAAATTTGAGAGCGACTTGAAAAAAAAAAAAAGCTTGATGTCTTGCTTGCATGCACCTACGTACGGCACAGAACAGTATCTTTCCATTGTGTAGCATGATCATGCAGTATTATACCCCATTAGGTTATATTGGCATAGCACCTCAATCAAAATGATCAGAGTGAAACGCATCATTGTTGCTTATTACTTAGCGCAAAAAAAAAATAAAAATAAAAAATTCAAATCAAATCAACTCAAAATGGCGGCACAAACGTAAGCTTACTCTGAGATGTGGACAAAGATTTCGCTGCCCCCGTCGGCGGGTATGATGAAGCCGTGGCCTTTGGAGCGGGAAAACCATTTGCAGACACCAGAAAAGACCGGACCTTCTGATGCGCGAGCTGTCCTGTATGGAAAGGAGGCAAGCGAAATGAGGAACATCCAAATCGGAAAGCACCAGAAAATGACACATTTGTTAGCAGCGCTGGCAAAAGTACCGAAATTCTGAACTCACGTCGTGGTACAAACGACCTCAACTCTGATTAAAGTAGAAGCACAGCTTCAACTCATGTACTTCAGGACAAACGTAAAGAGTGACACGGAAGTTTTGTTGTAATTTATGGACGACATTCCTTTTCACAACTGACAATTGATTTCAATCAATCGGGATGACAGCCGCGGTTGACTAACGCTCCCTGAATGTCTTTTACTTCGCCGCGTCGTTATCTGCAATACTGTTTTGACCAAGGATGGCGCAGAAAGGTAAAAAGAGAGCCGTTTTCAAGTTGAGTCAACTTGGTTACTTTCCGCCACAGCTTGTTCCAGTCACTACGCGTTCTGCTCGGTTGATGTGCGTTATGATAACGTTCCAAAAATGATTCCTGTCACGTGAAGGGAAACCCCCCCAAAAAAAAACGACAGATTAGATTTTTTTTT